AGTCTTCGGGAATCTCTCCTGTCTCCCATGATTTTCCAAAGATAATAGCTAGAGGCTCAGATCCCTCCTCTATTAGCTCCTTGAGTATTCTAGGATGCATTTCATCAGGCCCTGGTGACTGGCAGGCATCTAACTTTTCTAAGTGATTTTTAACTCGTTTTTTTTTAATTTTATCTGCTAAACCTATCCCCTTCCCATTAGCATTCACTATGTTAGGCATTCCTTCAGACTTCTCGGTGAAGACCGAAACAAAGAAGTCATTAAGCATCTCTGCATTTCCAAGTTTCCTGTTACTGTTTCTCCCCCTTCACTGAGCAGTAGACCTACCCTGTCTTTGGTCTTCCTCTTCCTTCTAATGTATTGATAAAAAGTCTTCTTGTTTCCCTTTATTCCTGTAGCTAGTTTGAGCTCATTTTGTGCCTTTGCCTTTCTAATCTTGCCCCTGCATTCTTGTGTTGTTTGCCTATATTCATCCTTTGTAATCTGTCCTAGTTTCCATTTTTTATATGACTTACACTTACTCCTTGGGGGGAGGGAGTTTGAGCTGGTACAACCAAAGGGGGGGGATGACTAGAAGCTGTAAGAAGGAGTCCAGGGAAGGAGCAACAAGGGCTGAGGAAAAGCATATCATAGTTGCCCAGTACAGGGTCCCTAGACTGGAACCTGGAGCATTGGGTGGGCCTGGGTTGCCATACTGGCCATTGGGGAAGTGGCACCATCAGGACAGTGCTGGAGAAGACTGCCTGAGACTGTGTGGAAGGACTTTGAGTAAGCCCTAGAAGGGGTAACCACGTAGTGACCCAGCTGAGTCATGAAGAGGAGGCTTCAGTTCCTTGAGCTGCAGGGCGAGTCAGGACAGGTAAAGACCAAATCAAGGCCAAGGTGAAGGCCAAATCACACTTGGAGTTGCAGCTAGCAAGGGATGTTCAGAGTAACAAGAAGGGTTTCTACAGGTATGTTAGCAACAAGATGATGATCAGGGAAAGTGTGGGCCCATTACTGAAATGGGGAGACAAACTAGTGACAGAGACTGTGGAAAAAGCTAATGTACTCGATGTTTTTTTGCCTCTGTCTTCACAACAAGGTCAGCTCCCAGAGTACTGCACCGGGCAGCACAGTATGGGGAGGAGGTGACCAGCCCTCTGTGGAGAAAGCTAGTTTAGGACTATTTAGAAAAGGCGGACGAGCACAAGTCCATGGGGCCAGATGCACTGCATCCGAGGGTACTAAAGGAGTTGGTGGATGTGATTGCAGAGCCATTGGCCATTATCTTTGAAAACTCATGGTGATCGGGGAAGGTCCTGGATGACTGGAAAAAAGCTAATGTAGTGCCCATCTTTAAAGAAAGGAAGAAGGAGGATCTGGAAAACTACAGGCTAGTCAGTCTCACCTTAGTCCTTGGAAAAATCACGGAGCAGGTTCTCAAGGAATCAATTTTGGAGAGGGTCCAGAGAAGAGCAACAAGAATGATGAAAGGTCTTGAGAACATGACCTATGAAGAAAGACTGAGAGGGGACATGATAGCA